ATGTCATTTATTTGATGAAATACTCACTTGTATATATTTTATTCACTTAATTTCATTTTTAAATTCTATTTTAAATAAATAAAAATAGTGGTTTATGCTAATTTTATTTATTATTATATAATGCTTCTAATTACACTTGTTAATTTATAACTAACACACCACACTCGGTACTCACTTGCAAGACGCTGCAAATTACTTAAAGATAATTTTAAAATATTCTAATTTATTTCAATAACAAGTTCTTTTATTTCTTTTCTTTATATAATATTGTCATAATTCACTTAATTCATATACGAATTTTTTTCACTTTCATTTTCCCCGCAATCATTTTGCTTGTTGAACACTTGGATTTGGATTAAGATTAAGATTCAGATTCAGTGTGAGATTTGAATTCACTAAAACCACCTCTTAGGAATGAATGGAGAAAATTTTCACACCATTGTGTGGAAACTTCAAACTGCAATATCTAACAGTCCGCAAATTACTTATATACGTCAGTTCTATTTATCTTATTCTATAAAAAAATTGAATGAGAATTATAATTAAGCCCGTAAGAAGCTAGTCCACATATATACTGCTAATGTAACAAAGAAATTGAGAATTATAATAATAAATATTTTGGACTCTGTTAAACTGATCATTTTAATTATCAATTATACTCGACAGACATCAATCGATCAAGCTAATAATAAATTTTATTTTTTTTATAATATTAGAAAAATACCAACACATATATATGTAAATTTATCTCTTTAAGTGTAAGATTATTTGGGTCCTGAAAAGGACCATTGGGCAATATATTATTGCATTATTAAATCAATAATTGATTATTTGCTTAACCTCCAAAACCGTATAAGGTACGGCCTTGTCTCTTTAAAGCATATACGACATCCATGGCTGTAACAGTCTTCCTTTTGGCATGTTCTGTGTATGTAACAGCATCACGGATCACATTTTCCAAAAATACTTTCAATACTCCACGAGTTTCTTCATAAATCAAACCAGAAATACGCTTAACTCCGCCTCGGCGAGCTAAACGTCTGATAGCTGGTTTCGTAATACCTTGGATGTTATCACGAAGAACTTTGCGGTGACGCTTAGCACCACCTTTTCCTAATCCTTTGCCACCTTTACCACGACCTGTCATTTTGTATTTAAATTTTTATAGATATGGTAGAACCGTTCGAATTCAAATTCAAACAATAAATGAAGTGACGACGGATGATTGACGACTATTTATAGAAAACATAAGCACTATGAAAGATATGAAAAAGATTGAGTAAAACAAAACAAAACAAAAGAAAACAAAACAAAAAGAATAAGCAATATGAGAAACAATGAATGTTAAAACATGTGAATAGTTGAAACAGAACATCCAGGTATGATGAGAAAATTGAGCTATTCAATTGCGCTATTTTTTAAAATACCATATTGTAACATATCTCATAAATTATGGCTCGTACAAAGCAAACTGCTCGTAAATCGACTGGTGGTAAGGCACCACGAAAACAATTGGCTACCAAAGCCGCACGTAAAAGTGCACCAGCTACTGGAGGTGTGAAAAAACCACATCGTTATCGTCCAGGAACTGTAGCTTTACGTGAAATTCGTCGCTACCAAAAGAGTACTGAGCTCTTGATTCGCAAATTGCCATTCCAGCGTTTGGTCCGTGAAATTGCACAAGATTTCAAAACTGATTTACGTTTCCAGAGTTCTGCTGTAATGGCTCTTCAAGAAGCTAGCGAAGCATACTTAGTGGGTCTTTTTGAAGATACTAACTTATGCGCAATTCATGCCAAACGCGTTACAATTATGCCAAAAGATATTCAATTGGCTAGACGTATTCGTGGAGAACGTGCTTAAGATTGGAAGCAATATAATTTTATAAATATACAAAAATCGGTCCTTTTCAGGACCAAAATTATATAAAGAAAAGAGATAAATAAATGACATGACTTATCCAGGGTTTGAAATTGCTTAACTATTTTCAATTGCTTATTTTTGACTACGAAAATAAAATAAGCAAAATGTAAATGCAATTGTTGCATAGTAAGTTTATTCAAAGAAAAGAGATAATGATAAATTATATCATATAGATGTAGTATAGACATTGCTATTAGAAGTAGCATAACATATATTAATATGTATAATATTAGCATCATATGTATACTATTATTAGTATCATATAGTGTATCATTAGACATAGAATGTTTCACGTCATAACATTTAATTGAATCAATATATTTTATTTTTCTTTTGCTGTAAGCAGAAAGCATCAGAAGCCATAATGTAAGACTTGAACTTACTAAAAGAACGCTTAAGGAATGAGTTGTAAAAGAGCTTATCTATCCCATGAAATTGTATGGTATCATAGAATGAATGACAAGGAACAAATACTATATTTATGTTTTCAAATTTAAAGCACGAATGTAAATATAGAATATATCAATTTAAAAGCGATGATAGTACTAAGACTGATGATAAGGATTAAGACTCGTTAATTCAAGAGTTAACTCTATTTAGCAGGTTATATTATCCATGATTAAAAAACTGTAAGATCCTCAAAACCGACAGAAATTAATTTGTTGATTGAATCATTTATTCACTAACAACCAAACGATAGCTGATAATTCATGAAGAGACTGTCAAAGTTTTTTTTTATTTTTTTCTTCTATCAGTAGCCTTTTAAAAGAAATATCAAAAACAAAATATATATCATATTTATATTATTATTATGTTGAGGCTAGTTGAGTCAGTGCACTTGAGCACTTTTACTTTCTATTAACTACGAGGTTTCTTCTTAACCCCTCTTTACGCCTTGTCTGGATTATTGTTTATAACTTTATCAGATCTGCATACCTCCCCGAGGAGCTTGTAACCATTCTGAGATTCAATAACGCGGTGTTGATAAGCCTGTCAGTTTTCGTAAATAATTTCAGGGCTCTATACATATTTATAATATAGATAAATTATCAACTCAATTGAATATTTTTGTGGCCCTGAAAAGGGCCTTTTGAATAAGTGGTGTTTGTTTGATATAACGCAATTTACTTGGAACTAGTATACTTAGTGACAGCTTTTGTTCCTTCACTAACTGCGTGCTTAGCCAGTTCACCGGGAAGTAAAAGACGAACAGCAGTTTGAATCTCCCGACTAGTAATGGTGGAGCGCTTATTGTAGTGTGCTAAGCGCGAAGCCTCAGCAGCAATACGTTCGAATATGTCATTCACGAAGCTGTTCATGATGCTCATGGCTTTCGATGATATACCAGTATCGGGGTGGACTTGCTTTAACACTTTATAAATGTAGATAGCATAGCTCTCCTTCCTCCTGCGCTTCTTCTTCTTATCGTTTTTGGTTATATTTTTCTGAGCCTTTCCATCTTTTTTGGCTGCTTTTCCGCTAGTTTTTGGTGGCATGATTTCTGATTTTAAATTTTAATCGTCGATTTGGAGCAATTTCCGTTTCTATATAAACATTTTTCAAACGAAAGTTTAAAGCAATTTTTTATTTTAAATTGCGTTTAGAAAAAGTATATGAGATAATTTGTCGGCATCATTAAAAAAAAAAGGACGATTGGACGATCAAAAAGGACGGGATTGGGATTCGTAATTAGTCTTTGTTAGGAGAACATACACGCATCGTTCCTCAAGCTTCATAGTCAATAATCGTGGTAAATAATTCAAATACCCAAGTACTCAAGTCTCAAGTGCTCAAGCACTCAAGCTCTCAAGAACTTTATACTCAAGTATTCAAACACTCAAGGTTCAAATACTTGGTATAAAATACCACCAGTACTACAGTTTGACTAACACTTGGTCAAGTAACAGTTTGAGAGTCACTTGTGACTTTCAAACTGTTGGTGCAAAATCGATTTTCCAGTGACTGTCAAACTGTTCAGTGAGTTTCAAACTGTTCAGTGATTTTTAAACTGTGCATTGACAGTTTGAAAGGCACATCTGTAATTAGCAATTTGATGGAAATGGCAAATAATGAAGTTATTCCAGTGCCCCCAAGCATTTCCCAAGATCATTGCACTCCAAATCCAGTCAGCACTGAGGAATTCATTGAACTAAAAAAGTTCAATGAGCTTCTGCAGGAGAATTACTCAAAACTGCTTCAACAATTTCAAACACTTCAAGAGCGGTGTTCCAAATTGGAGAACCAGCTAAGCGCCCAAAGCGCTACATCACTTAATAAAAAAACACTGAAGAGAAAGAAGAATGCTGCTTCAGTTACACCTCCCGAGGAAAAAATTATTGAAAACTCCATCAATACGGAAATCTCAATTGAAGTAGAAGACAGTGAAAAAAATGATGAATTCTCTATAGTTAAATCAAAAAAATTGATGAAATTAAATTCTATTACGGAAGATGTGGAGCACGATACAACAGCTCAAGTTGAACAACATACATCAACTTCAGAGATTGAACTTAGATCCGCTTCTCACCAACACAAAAATAGTAGATCTAATCATCATAACAAACAACAAGCCGAAATGCAGCAAGTAGCGAATAAAACCAATATTAATTCAAAGGAGAAAGTAGTACCCATCACAATAAAAGAAAACATTCCTTGGAATGCACTGATGAGGGCACTGGATCAAAGAAACATTAAATTTGATGAAGCTAAACGGGTAAGAAGCGGCTTTCAAATCACACCCTCCACAACAGATGATCATCGTAAAATGACCAAATATTTGGAGGAGATTAAAGCTGAATTCTATACATACTTCTTACCAAGCGAGAAAAATATAAATATAATCATCAGAGGTCTGGAAGGTATCGATCCTGAGGAAATCAAAGAAGATTTAACAGCTAAGGGTTTCAAAGTACTCGAATGCCACTTTCTCAAAACAAGAGCTCACTCTAAACCTAAACTCATCAAAATAAGACTTCCTAAGGAAGAAAAATCAATATATGATATTACATCAATATGTCACCTAAAAGTCTGCATCGAGGCTCAAAAAGGCAGCACCCTCCCCATTCAATGCCACAACTGTCAGCAATTTGGACATGTCGCAACAAATTGCAGAATGAATTCCAGATGCGTCAAGTGCGATGGAAACCATCATCATTCCAAATGCATTAAACCCAAAGAAGCCGAACCAATATGCACAAACTGCAAAGGCAATCATCCGGCCAATTATGGTGGCTGCCCTAAAAACCCAGTCAATATTAAAAAAAAAGTAATCGAAAATTCAATTCAACAAGCCAAAATCATCAATAACAAGGTCGCCCAAGGTGTATCTTACGCTAGCGTAGCCAGCTCAAATAAAGAAGATCAACAACATAATCAGCAAACAGCACATCACAGCGAACAATTTAATAGACTCATATCCATCATGCAAAATGAATTTAGCATCATGATGCAAAACATGATGCAAAATATGATTAAGAATATAGCTCATTCTCTTACGCAATCAGCATAATGGATTCTATATCAAACAAATTAAAAATCATTAGCTGGAATGCAAATTCCCTGCACAACAAAAAAGGAGAATTAACTCAATTTCTTCACGTTAACGAAATCGACGTGTTACTTTTACAAGAAACTTATTTGAAAGCAGGAATGAAATGCAAAATACCCAACTACACAACATATAGAAGTGACAGAAACAGTCGGCAAGGAGGAGGCACAGCCATCCTGATTAAGAACAGAATCCCCCATCATCATACTACGTCAAATTGCATCAACTTGGAAGCAACAACAATTCAAATAACGCAATCAAATATGAATCTTAAAGTAAGCTCAGTCTACAGACCACCTCAAGCAAGGGATTATATAGAAGACCTCAAAGGACTCATAGAAAACGATGTAACTACGTTCATAGCGGGAGACTTGAATGCATATAATAGAAGCTGGGGCGATAACAACTCCAATACAGCAGGAAGAGCAATCGAGCTGTTTGTAGCGGAAGAGTTAATGTGTCTCCACATTCCAGATGAACCAACGCACTTCGGCATTCGCTCTAACCATATCCTAGACATAGGAATATCCAAATCTCTGAACTTCAACGTACATGTGGAAGTGCTACATGAACTAGACTCAGATCACAAACCGGTATTGTTTGTGGTCGAAGATTATATCATTGAAAGGCCACCCCTTACTAAGAAATGTGTAAACTGGGAATTCTTTAAAACTCAAATGGACTCAGCAGCTCCAATTATGGAACTCACATGTGCCGAGGAAATAAACCAAAGCATCAACGCAATAACCTCAAAAATTCAAGAATCCCTAAACAACAGCACAACCACCAAACCAATTAAAACTAACGACTATTTCATTCTGCCAAGAGATATAAAGGCTAAGATAAGACTCAAGAACAGAGTAAGAAAAAGGGCTCAAACCACAGGAGACCCAACTCTCAAAAGAGAGGCCAACCAGCTTACCAATGAAGTACGAAAACTTATTCATCATCATAACAATTCGAAATGGGAGGAACTAATAACAGAATTAGAGGATGATAGCAAGAAGTTCTGGTCACTAAGCAAATACTTCAGGCTTAAAAACAAAGTGTCTATTCCAACAATACACGGGGCAAATGGACTTAACCACACGAATGAAGATAAAGCTGAGGCATTTGCCGACTCTCTAGAACTTCAGTTTCAAGATAATACTGATGATTACGATAACGTTGATTTCGAAGAAAGGACTGCGAGAAGAGCTGCAAGCATTCTTAACACAGCCACGACAGAAGCTGTATCGCCATGCCTGGTAGATGAAGTTCAACAAATAATATCTGAATTAAAAAAGAAATCAGCACCAGGATACGACAATATTAACAATAGATGCCTGCAAAACTTGCCAGAAAAAGCGATTGAGGAGCTAACTAAAATTTACAATGCCATACTTAGAACAGGCTACTTCCCTGAGAGATGGAAATTGGCGCATATTATTATGCTTCCTAAGCCAAATAAGAACAGATCCTTCCCACAGAACTGGAGACCTATAAGCCTGCTTCCTTCATTGGGTAAAATAGCAGAAAGGCTTATCAAGAACAGGCTTCAGGCTGAAGTAACAATAAACAACATAATCCCGAATGAACAATTTGGTTTCAAAGAAAATCACTCATGCGAGTTGCAGCTTGCCAGAATGGTACAACATATACACAATGCGTTAAGCAGAAGAGAATCGACGGGTTTAGTTTCCTTTGATATTGCAAAAGCGTTCGACAAAGTATGGCATGACGGATTGATTACGAAAATGCATGATTTCAATATATCATCAAGCATTACCAAAATTATAGGCAGCTTTTTGTCAAATCGCTCATTTAAAGTACTAGTCAACAACATAACATCGTCTTCAAGAAACATAGAGGCTGGAGTTCCACAGGGGTCTCCGCTATCTCCCCTCTTATATAATATATATACGGCCGATATACCAAAATATGAACCTTCCTCGCTAGCGCTTTTCGCGGATGACACCTGCGTATACTTCTCAGACCGCAACTCTACCTATGTAACAAACATCATACAAGAACACATCGACAGAATATCCGAATATTTTCGCAAATGGAAAATTAAAATGAACAACGAGAAAACAGAAGCAATTTTCATCACCAGAAAACACCGACAATTTCCTATAAATATCAGAGTCAATAATGTCGAGGTGACATGGGCTGATCAAATTAAATACTTAGGAATAATTCTGGACAAGAGATTAACCTGGAAGGCTCATATTAGATATAAAAAAACCCAAGCAGCGGCGATAATAAATCAACTTAAACCACTTTACAACAATAAGAAACTAAACATAAGAAACAAAACAATGCTTTTCAAACAAATCATACTACCAATAATAAGCTATGGCAGTATAGCATTCAACAAAACCAACAAAACAAATTTCAAAAATTTACAAGCAATTCAAAACAGTTCAATTAAAAAGATCTTTAAGATACCATGGTACATCAGGGCCAGTACAATAGAAAAAGAACTAAACATCAAACCAATAAACTCTTTCATCAAAGAAAAAGCACAAAAACTATTCTTAAAAGTAGATTCACATAACAACCCAACATTGGCTTATCTTAGAACCTCAAATAATAACATCCGCTCTAGCAGATATGCAAATCTGAGACCCAATTAAACTTAATATAAAATAACCACACATCAATGGTAGCGAAATCATCTCAATTTCGTCAATAAAAGGGAGTAAAGGTGATTATACAACCAACTCCAATAAAAACCACAAAAGACAAAAGACAATTAAAAAAAAATAGATCCAATTTTTATAAATCTCAACTACTAGAAACTCAACTCAACTATGTCTGGTCGTGGTAAAGGTGGTAAAGTTAAAGGCAAGGCAAAGTCACGATCAAATCGTGCTGGATTACAATTTCCAGTTGGTCGTATTCATCGATTATTGCGTAAAGGCAATTATGCTGAACGCGTTGGTGCAGGTGCTCCAGTCTACTTAGCTGCCGTTATGGAATATTTGGC